ACTGGTAGTAGAATTTTCCCACAATCATATGGGTTGAGCTGACGTTTCCATTGAATTTCACATAGCCTTGTTTTCCCAAAAGTTGTTTTCATCCTGGGTGGACTGCAGTTTCGACCTCGCATTGGTCTTATCAACACCCTCAGCGGGATTCGGATGCGAGATCGAAACTGCAGTCCACTCCAACCGGGATGAGAACAACTTTTGGGAAAGCAAGGCCATGTGAAATTCATTGAAAAAGTCGGCTAAACTTATATGATTGTGGGAAAATTCTACTACCGGTCCTTCATCAATTTACACGAATTAGGCTGAACACATCTCATATAACTTTGCAAAGACTTTTACGCCAACGGATGTCTTCCGGTTATTGCGATGTCTGTCAGGCCAGCAGGGAAGAAGCGACTGCATGGGTTTTTCCGTGGTCAAAAGACAGTCACCCTAGCAACCCAATTTTCTCTGTCCAGTGGAAGCTATGTGCAGATGAGGTATGCATATTCCTTAGATGCCTTGGGTGACTGTGTAGCCCTCGATCAGGGCCCACGGATATAACCGAAGCATACTCATTCAGTAAGTACGATTTGTCCGCGAGTAACATGACAAATGCCACTTGAGAATCGAAGAAAAAGGTCCAATTTGCGAAGACCTGGCAAGGCCGAATGAGAAAACCTTTTGGGAGGCAGAGCAATATGCCAGTTTATGGCATCATTTCCTTGTGGCAAATTCATACCTCACCACAAACAATTTCGGGTGACATGACTACCAAACAAAGTATCCCCTTTATTTTATCCTTGCCGGTACCGCCATCAATGTCTAAAGACTGGGAGTAAAATTGAATTCACCTGCACACACATACATAAACACACACACACACACACACACACAATTCTAGGTTTTTCCCGTTTTCGTACAACATGCTGAACCGAGAGGTGTACGCCTCTTTGGGCCAAACGAACAATGGAATTATGGAATATGATTAAATTATCTTCGCGCAGGTATCCGCCTACCGATCCACCCTGAGTCTTAGGCACGAAGACGATTCCGTAAATGCATCTGGAAGGACGCAAGGCGCGACTGTCTCTTCTGAACCCGATCCAGCCGCGAGGCCACTGCGCCCGGACTCGGCGCCGAAAGCTTCGTTTCTGGTCGACGATCTGACGTCTCGCAGGACGGCATGTACGCGCCTCGGTGAGCTGAGCCTGGGCCCGAAACGCAACGTGGAAGGCGAAATCGCATTCTTCGAGAACAGCTACAATGCAGATTACAAGGAAAAACATGTCGGTTGGTGACTCTTTTTTTCACATGACGTTTTAGGCTTTACTCGCTTTCAGGCAGTACTTTCCTCGAATCGGTCCAAAATGGAATTTATGTCGTGATTGTTAGTGTGCTTGCGGCTCTATGTTATTCCGATCAAGCGAACTACTTCCCATCCATTTAGTGCTCAACTTATGTCTCATTTGAGCACCGGTTTGGTGACTTGAGTAGCGGTCCCAGTTGAAGATGATTTGAGGATTGATAGTTGAACTTCACACCAGCATCACGACAGGATTTGATGCAATGTCAAATGGTAAAGTTTACAGTCCTCCACACATACACACACACACACATACATACACACACACAGAGGCACAGACGCGCGCAAACACAATTTCAAGACAAATCATATCAGTGGTGGACTAAGGCCAACTGGTATTTTTCATTAAACTCGATGATACTACTGACTTTGCAATTTTATTAGGTTTATAAAACTATCTGACAATGCTGTTGTAGAAACTTGGTGGTTGCGCGTGAAAGTGTGCGAAGAAGAGCTTCGAAGCTCGATCTCACCGGTAGACGACAGCTTATGACAATTCTTCTGCCGCCAGTTGGCTCTTGCATACGTCCTTCGAGATGACGCAATATCAGAAACATTCCACCTCGATTTGGGTGAAAAGGCACTTTCATACATTAGCATCTTCTGAGATGCCTCGAAGCCCATTCACAATTCATGTATCAGACGATTTTTTATACAAATTTTACTTGACAACAGGCAGCCAAATGAATCCCTCTAGAAAAGTGAGTCAAGAGAAGCTTGATTTGTTATCCACTTGGTTGTGCGGCTGAGTTGTGATGTGGCCGTCTGAGACCTGGAAGAACTCGAAGCTGCCATCCAGTCGAAATGGAAAGCCCGTTTGGCGGGAGGATTGAATGAGATTCAAGGCTCCTGAATCCAGTCTATTGTGGAAGCTTCATCTGTACCCCCACATCTTGTCCAGCGAACTATGGTGAAGTCATATTTGATGCAATTTTGCGTAAAGTACAGTTTCCCACTTTTGACAATAGCTATGACAGTGGGACAGACGAGAGCTAGGCACATGTTGACAAAATGACAAGAAGGTGAGATGAAGATGTGTTCGAACAATCCAACAGGCTCCACACAACTCCACGGCAATTCTTCTTCTCATGAATTCCTTCCAACCAACTTCTTCTTCGAAATGAAATCGCATGTCACAATAAATCATTGTGGAAGTCCCCGAAATCTAGTTTTTCTCATTTGATTCACGAACCCTCTCCTGCGGATAGGGCAACTCTGGTGACAATGACAAAAGAGCATACCGGACATCTTTTATCCCAGACAGGTTATATGTACACACATACACGACAGAGAGAATAGGTAGACATAGATCCATAGCAATACTTCCTCTCTCGACCTGGCTGAGCTGATTTATGTTATTTCCCGGGTTCATTAGTTTTATAGTCACGATGCTGTGAACGAAGGGTTCGGAGGGTCTATCGAAATTTGCCGAAAGATGTACGGTCCAGATGCGAAGAAAAGTTAGCTCCCGAGAAATCTCTTAGTTTATTCGTGTTGAGCCCACTTTTATTTCGAGTGAAAGTGGGTGAAAATGATGAAGAGATTCGAAGCTCGATCCCACCCAGATAGGATGGAGAATTTTTCTTTGCCAGCTGCCGATTGGCCGAAACGTTCTGGTGAAAATGACCTTTAAAGATCTTCTTCACTTTCATGTGAACTGGAAGTATGCCCAAAAAGTGTGCTCTACTCTTTCATTTTGTATCCCTACGGTACCAGATGGCGTTGATGCGAAACATTGTTTGTGATATGCATTTCGTTTCAGATCGGCCTCCAAAATATCAACCCAAGCACACTGCACTGCACTGTTTGACACCATTCACACAAGTTTCCGTATACCGTTCCGACTTTGCTTCCCCGTCGTCAGGACGGAGGGAGGAGGGGCGGGTGAAGATGGATCAGACGAAGCTTCCAGTTATTGCATCTCCGACGAGACCGAAGCCTCGGCAGTTTGGCGAGGCTGCTCGCAAACGGCCGGCTTTGAGTTCAGACACAACCTACCAACTGGCTTACATGCGCAGGGAGCCGAAACCAGACCCTCTTCCTCGGCAGATCAGGCAGTTGGCGCACGAATACAAGATTGTTAAACAGGCAAGTTGGCCAAACAGGTAAGGATCGGTGCTCCAGAGAGAAGTTTTTTTTCCCAGCTAGCAGGGAGTTAATGCAAAATGGGCTATGAATTCAGTGTCACATGTGAATCTAGGCCTTTGCATGTGTGAAGAGTAGCTGGGTTTAGTTCTCTCTCTCTCTATATATATATATATATTTCCGGTGAGACAAATGCACGAATTCCTTCCAACTAACTTTTTTCCTCAAAATGAAATCTCATGTCACAATAAACAATTGGGGGAGTCTCCGAAGCCTAGCTTTTTCAATTTATTCTCTATTATATTTATTTATTTATTTATATATAACGAGGTGTGTTTATCTATATACTCTGTTTTTGCTTTAAGTATATATATCAGGTAGGGTAGAGCTGGATAATCTTCTCGATCCGCGACCGCACACAAATAAACACTCAAGTATAAATATTCAGAGTGACTTGGAAAAGGACTGAGCAAATCATTCTCAACCTATCTATTTATATCTATATATTTTCATTTTTGTTTGTATATATATATATTTTTTATTTATTTATCATTATTTGTTTGTAGATACGAAGAGAAACTTGGTTTCGATGAATCTCCTGAGATAACATTGTTAGGGGGATCTTCATTTCGTATGAAAATGCATAAAGAAGAGATTCGTTGGTCGATCTCACCAGATGAGGACGGATGAATCTCGTTGTACCTTAGCCGTTTGGTTTGTATACGATATTCACG